TGCCCAGTGGAAACGCACCTATTGACCAAAACAGCGGCAAGCTGCACATTACGCTTTGCACACATTACTTGAAGAATGTACATCTGCTGGAAAGCCTGGATTACATTAAAGTGCAGAATAATGTGTAGAAGAAGAAAATGGAAAATGGAAAGTACCACTTTGGCTTGAAAACCACCTAATGTTAGGTGTATTGGCTTAATTTTGAAACTGGAGAACATTGTGCAGCATATATTTTCACCAGCAAAAATGGTGCAGACTTACATTACTAAAAGGTACTTGAATGGATATGCAAAATAAATATTCTGTTTTCCCCAGTGACCCGTACGGTTCAACTAAACAGAAAAGCCACAACACATCAAACTAAACCACAACACAACAACAAAAGATGAAATGCAAAAGCCACAGTATGTATTACTCCATTGTAGGTAAAGCTGTTGTGTTGCAGCTTATTTTGTTTTGTTGTGGCTTTTGCAATTGCAGCTTACGTATTCCATAGAACCATATGAGCCACTGTAGTTTTTAAGAGTGAGTGCAAAGAAAACTTTACATCAAAGGTTTTACTTTTGTGCTACAAAAAGGGAAATGCAAGAACATGGGCCGTGTGGTGCTTCCTAACATGCGTTGTGAATGCTGACATTCTTACAAAACCAAATGGGCCTTTTCTATGAACCACTTTTCAAAATTAAAGCTTTTATAAAGAAACATTTTCATGAAAACACAGAAAATCCTCAGCTTAGTGAGGCAAAATAAAGAACATCCTAGCATATGAGTGACAGTCAAAACAGTGTGTTGATAATTCCACTATTATGTCAGTCATATTTGAAACCATGGCCTTTATCTGCTGCTGACACACGATGTGCAGGAGCAGTTTGGGGGAAAGGACAGCCGATAGTGGCGAGTCAAAGAAATAGTTATTTGAGTGAGTGAGAAAGTGACAACTCAATGGTGGGAGAATAGAGCACTAACACTTCAGTCTGGTCCAGAACTGACAGCATCACACATAACGATGTTTCAGTGAAAGAGCCAGGAGAACCCTCAGGGACATGAGGCCAAAGCAGCACACCTTCTGTCCAATTCTGACTGCCTCAATACGTCTCCACTCTCCTCGTCCCCTTCATTTACATCCAGACCAGCTGAAACAGTGAGGGTGGTCTAAATTTTACTGTGTGTGTGTGTGTGTGTGTGTTGGGGGGGGGTATCTGCTCCAGAGGGATCCACCACAAAGGGAGTTGTAAATGCTTTAGAGAATGTTTATAAATCCCTCTGTGAACATTTTTCTGTCAACATAAATGTAAGCGACGCTGTCACGACACTTTGCAGGTTTGAAGCTGAGATCAAAATAAAATGATCTGAAGCATAACTGAGTTAGCGTTCACTCATGTAGGAAATGAAAACTTGAGTGCTCCTCATGTAAAGTGCCTTGTGAAAAAAAATTATATATATATATATATATATATATATATATATATATATATATATATATATATATATATATATATATATATATATATATATATAAAGTCTTGAGTGAGAATCAACATTTATATACCAAAGACTTGACTTTCTGGAACCAAGGTGTGCAGCTTTAGGTATGTTTTTAGAGGCAAAACTCACCCTTTGCATCTTTTTCTGCTGCCATGTGGGTCTCTACTGCCTCTATAAATACTCCAAAAGCCAAAAAAAAAAAAAAAAAACCACTGTACACCAGTTTACCATTAGTGTTTGGTTTCAGAAATTGTGTGCCGAAAACAATCAATTAACAGCTGTTAAAAAGGAACCTTGGGTGGATGTGTCAACGATTGTAGAATGGAAAAACTAGGTTGAAAAATTGTTTTTGAAATTAATTATTATAACAAAAGGCCCAAAATATCAGGAACATCAAGAGAGGACAAAAATAGCAGCTTGAATATTAAAGATTAATTAATATTAATGGAGCCCCATGACCACAAATACACATTTCTGACAGGGAAGAAGTCACAAAAATGATTTCCCATGAATAACCAATGGTGCAAGATCTCATCAAATGTGAGATGTTTATCCGTTTTAAAGAAATCAGTGGATCAGTCAGCATGCATTGGGTTGCAAGAAGTGCTCCAAGTAATAGATCTGAAGTTCATTTTCCAAACGGAAATTTTCACGACTTGTTGATGAAATCTACAAGTCCCCCCAGAGTCTGGGAGGAAATTAAATGAAAAAGGACCATGACCTCACTTTAGAACATCTGTGGCAGAAATTGAGGATCGACTCACAAGCGCCACCATGTGTTGGAAGTGTAACTGGACATGAATCAATATATTTCCTGGTACATGTGTTTAAAAGTGTTCCTTGTATGCTGCTATAAATTAGCCTAGAAAACTAGCCAAACCACGACAGCATCGGTCTGGCCACACTCTATTGTCTCCTCGGCAGATCTACCATTGGACTAATCAGTTTAAGATTTGCCCAATCACAGTGCTCTGTGTTTGTAGAGAGACATTGGGTAAGCTTAGCACCAGAGCTGCCGCGGACAAAAACTACAAATATGGTGTCGACTGAGGGACAGCGCTCATTTGAAACGACTTTGGCATCAACACTGGACAATTTAGATTTGGGCTTTTCTTTGAGACATGAAGAGTTATGGCAAGGGCAAGGCAGCTTTATTTGTATAGCACCTTACAACAATGTAAAACCGACCAAAGCGCTTCACAGAAATTAAAAACACTAAAACAATACGCAACAAAAAATGTATAAAAACTAAAGCTGAAGAACTAACACTAAAACACACTATAAAGACTCATGCAGAGTTAAAAGCCAAATGATAAAAATAGGTTTTCAAAAGAGATTTAATACCAGACATTGAAGAGGCTGACCTAATGCTCAACGGCAGCGCATTCCAGAGTCTAGGGGCCGCTACGGAGAAAGCCCTGTCACCTCTGAGCTTGTGTCTGGTTTTTGGGACTTCCAGGAGCGTCCTATCAGCTGACACCAGAGACTGTGCAGGGGAGTAAAAAACCAGTCGCTCAGAGATGTAATCTGGAGCAAGGCCATGCACAGATTTAAAAGCCCATAAAAGCACCTTAGTTAAGGTAAATGGTAAATCTGTATTTCATTCTAGAGTCCTGGAAACCCCCCCCCCCCCCCCCCCCAAAGCACTTTAAAACACAATCAGTCATTCACCCATTCACACACACATTCACACCCTGGTGGGGATGAGCTACGATGTAGCCACAGCTGCCCTGAGGCACACTGACAGAGGCGAGTCTGCCGTACACAGGCGCCACCAGTCCCTCCGACCACCACCAGCAGGCAAGGTGGGTTAGGTGTCTTGCCCAAGAACACAATGACAGCAACAGACTGAGTGGGACTCGAACCTTAAACCTTCTGATTGCAGGGTGAGCACCTAACTCCTGTTCCACCGTCGCTCCTGTCACACAGTTAGACGTACTTTAGCAGTAATTTATTTTCAAAAACGATGTTTTCTTATTGTTTTTCATCAGTTTATGGCAGACTGACCTGCTGAATGGTGTCCATAGAGATGAATATATCTTGTTGTTTGTTGTTCTGATACGACTTAGAGTGGCCCAACAGCAGTAAGAAAGACAACCACAGATTCTTCACCACGACCGATCTATTGGCTGTGGCCAGACTACACACTCACACACACACACACATCTTGTTGGTCTCACTTTAAATGACAAGTAAAATTACAGATCAACGTCTAAAAACCCAAGTAAATATTGTTAACTTCTTAATGCCAGAGTACCTAATGTTAATGACTATCTAATCTGATGTGTTTATAATTAATTATAACAGTATAACAGTAATAAACACAACTGGCCCCTGCTACCTGCAGATCCTCCACCAGAGGGCAGTAGACATGCATAGAAGTGGTTCCAGCAGGATTTTGATGAAGGTACTAATCCTAACACTTTGGCCCTGTCCACACGTAGCCAGGGATCTGCCAAAAGGTAGATATTTTTCTACGTTTTGGCCTGTCATCCACACGAAAACTGAGTTTTTTCACACAAAAATGGATCTTTTTAAAAACTCCGGACAAAGTGAAGATCTGCGTTTCTCCGTTTTGGGTGTCTGCGTGTGGACAGACAAAACCAGAGTTTTAAGGTTCGCAACGTCACTTTCCGCGACAAAAAAATGCTGATATCACGTGTGCGACCTGTGTTTACACTAGCCGACAGCATGGATGCCCTCAGAGATGCGCTCACTTTATCAATTGTCCAAGCGCTTTTTGCTTGTTTGTTTTTGCAAGCGGAATTACTGCTCCTTGCGGAAGACCACAGACGAAGGACGAGGTTAAGAACGGGGGAAGTACTGCCGCCTACAGGTCTGGCATGTCCTTAACAACGTATTTATCCGGGTATGTGTGGTCAGAGTTTTTTTTTTAAAACGAGGTGGTGTGGATGCAAGTTTTTGGAGGGGCGGATATTCGTTTTTAAAAACCCGGCTACGTGTGGACTAGGCCTTTATCTGGATGTTTTAGGGCTAGAAGCATTTTAATGCAAAACTATGCCAACAGTCCGCTAGGCGTTAATGTACAGACAAAAAATGAATAAATAAAACAATCCGAAACAAAAGCTACTGATTAACGTTTCATGAATTTCAGCTGTAGAAATTAAACATCGAAAGCGGGGTAGTGTGTGATGTTATTCTTTTTGTCATAGACACAAATTAATGTTTCACCAACTGTGAATTCTCAGTCTTCAAAATAAAAACTGTTGCCATGCTCTTAGCACCATTGCGACAACATCCTAGTAAACTGTGTAGTCTCTATGAAACAAAGGCTCATGGGTAACAATTCAGTCTATTTATGAAATGAATGAAGGGTAAAGTCACCTAGTGATTCCCTTCTTTAACACAGACTTGAGTTTAACCACTTTGTTGTACTTAAATATATATTCTACAAAACATGAGAAAGACAGCAAAGACAGAAGCATGTCTCACATACCCATCTACCCGTCTGTGTGCAACAAGACCTACAACCACACACTCGGTTTGACACTCACCATGACTGAGATGTGTAGCAGATGCATGTGTTCGTGTAACACATGAGCAGGCTCCCGAGCTGTGGGTTGTGTTGTTTGTGTCATAAGCTCCAATTCCGTCACGGAGACATGAAAGTACAGCGTCCCGTTTTCCAACCACTGCTGCTTCCAATGGACCTGAGAAATATCCTCTCCCGTACCAGACATCTCTGGAGGACAGAGGAGTGGGGGAAAAAATCCATTAAAGACATCAAAAAGCACTTTTGGGCAAGTAGTTATTTGTCGAGTGAAGCAAATGGCTTCCAATTATCTTTGAGATAAATTCAAATGTAAAATAAAACAAAAAAAATACGTTTAAAGTAAATATTTTAATAAAAATAAGAAAGGTAATAAATTGCATTGCCTCTCTCTTATTTTTATGAGAGATTTTTAGTATTCAAGACCATTTTGCATGCACACAAATTGCCAAAACAAAACTTGAAATACTAAATTGCTGGTTAAATAATTTATGATGATGCAGTTTTATTTGAAAATGTGACTCGATGCAGTTTTCTGGGTTCCTTATATAGGAAACTTTTTACTGATTGGCTTAATGAACTGACCTGTATTGGAATGATTACTATGTGAAGTGCCTTGAGACCACTCTTGTTGTGCTTTGGCGCTATATAAATAAACCTGAATTGAATTGATTCTAAGAATGTAGAACATTTAAAAGAAAAGTGCAGTCTAAACATCGGCAGATTTCATTATTGTATTTTCCTGCTCTGTGAGCCCGTCAACATCAATAATAATAATGGGTATTCATTTGGAATTTTTGGCTTCCATAATTATGATTTTCAAGGTAATCAGAATTTCTTTTTTAACACCGTTCTAGTGATTCTGGTTCTTTCAATTAAATAAGTGGACTCAGTAAATATCTGTATCAGTTGGTCAGAGCTGTAAAATAATAAAATTCGGTATTGGCCATCAAAACCTGAATCAGTGCACCTCTGTTATTAGATGAATGTTGTGTACTGAAGATCCTGATCTGGTCAGCTTTGACTGAGTTCTTTTTAAAATGGGGAATGTTCTGACTGGTAAGACCTTGCAAAAATAAAGCAAAATACAAAACAAACTCAAAAGTTCATGTTGTTTCTTCTCTGGATATGTAGTAAAACACCATTATCTTTAAAAATTCTAGCAGTGTCAACATGTTGGTAACATTAAGTTAAAACCCAAGAGAGAGAAAGAGAAAAGTGAGAAAAGAAGAACATATATAAAAATGGAAGAAAGGCATATTTTAGGAGCATCAGAAAACAAAGTTGACAAGATCAGAGAATTATCAGATTATCCTGCAGCACAAAAATCTAATGCCATCCAAGCGGGAGTGGATGCAGACTAGAGGAGTACAAAGAAGCCTCAGGAAATCTCAGACTGCCAAGTACGATACAGCATTTGCCATGTGGAGAGAGAGAGAGAGAGAGAGGGAGAGAGAGAGAGAGAGAGAGAGAGAGAGAGAGTGTGTGTGTGTGTGTGTGTGTGTGTGTGTGTGTGTGCGTGCGCGCACATGCGTGTGTGTGTGTGTGTGTGTGTGTGTGTGGTCTCCTATCAATGGCAGGTAGCAATAGATAAATGGTTTTTGGTGCAGCTGGTTATTAACCTGACTTTGGGTCAGAGGACATGGGCAGAAGGGACAGATAACATGAGCCGTGTTCAAGATTCAGAGAGAGAGAGAAAATGTACAGGTGCTGGCCAGTAAATTAGAATATCATCAAAAGGTTGAAAATATTTCAGTAATTCCATTCAAAACGTGAAACTTGTACATTATATTCATGCAATGCACACAGACCAATGTATTTCCAATGTTCATTACATTTAAATTTGATATTCATAAGTGACAACTAATGAAAGCTCCCAATTTGGTATCTCAAAAAATTAGAATATTCTGAAAAGGCTGAATATAGAAGACACCTGCTGCCACTCTAATCAGCTGATTTACTCAAAACACCTGCAAAGGCCTTTAAAAGGTCCCTCAGTCTTGTTTTGAAGGCACCACAATCATGGGGAAGACTTCTGACTTAACAGCTGTCCAAAAGACAATCATTGACACCTTGCACAAGGAGGGCAAGACACAAAAGGTGATTGCTAAAGAAGCTGGCTGTTCGCAGAGCTCTGTGTCCAAGCACATTAACAGACAGGCGAAGGGACGGAAAAAATGCGGTAGAAAAAAGTGTACAAGCTCTAGGGATAACCGCACCCTGCAGAGAATTGTGACGACAAACCCATTCAAAAATGTGGGGGAGATCCACAAAGAGTGGACTGCAGCTGGAGTCAGCGCTTCAAGAACCACCACGAGGAGACTCATGAAAGACATGGGATTCAGGTGTCGCATTCCGTGTGTCAAGCCACTCTTGAACAAGAAACAGCGCAAGAAGCGTCTCGCCTGGGCCAAGGACAAAAAGGACTGGACTGATGCTGAGTGGTCCAAAGTTATGTTTTCTGATGAAAGCAAGTTCTGCATTTCCTTTGGAAATCAAGGACCCAGAGTCTGGAGGAAGAGCGGAGAAGCACAGAATCCACGTTGCATGAGGTCCAGTGTAAAGTTTCCACCGTCAGTGATGGTGTGGGGTGCCATGTCATCTGCCGGTGTTGGCCCACTCTGTTTCCTGAGGTCCAGGGTCAATGCAGCCGTCTACCAGGAAGTTTTAGAGCACTTCATGCTTCCTGCTGCTGACCAACTTTATGGGGATGCAGACTTCACCTTTCAACAGGACTTGGCACCTGCACACAGTGCCAAAACCACCAGCACCTGGTTCAAGGACCATGGTATCCCTGTCCTTGATTGGCCAGCAAACTTGCCTGACCTTAACCCCATAGAAAATCTATGGGGTATTGTGAAGCGGAGGATGCAATACGCTAGACCCAACAATGCAGAGGAGCTGAAGACGACTATTAGAGCAACCTGGGCTCTCATAACACCTGAGCAGTGCCACAGACTGATCGAGTCCATGCCACGCCGCATTACTGCAGTTATTGAGGCAAAAGGAGCCCCGACTAAGTATTGAGTGCTATACATGCACATTCTTTTCATGTTCATTCTTTTCAGTTGGCCAACATTAGAGAAACAAACATTTTTTCATTGGCCTTTAGAATATTCTAATTTTCTGAGATACCAGATTTGATGTTTTCATTGGTTGTCACCTATAAATATCAAAATTAAACGTAATAAACATCGGAAATACATTGGTCTGTGTGCATTGCATGAATATAATGTACAAGTTTCACGTTTTGAATGGAATTACTGAAATATTTTCAACCTTTTGATGATATTCTAATTTACTGGCCAGCACCTGTACAAGTCACCAACTCATAAATTACAAAATATCAAGGTACTGCACTCAAGTCATTCAGATGCTGTGAGTGTGTTTTAACAGTAAAAAAAAAAAAAAAAACACAATACATGTGTGGTTTTACATCCCAGTATGTACTGGCTGATAATCTAAAATAAATTAAAGGAATTCAGATTTGTTGAGGAGATGTTCTGCTGTAGTATTGTATTATTAGAGACAGGGACTCGTGGTGTCCTAGTGAAAGCTGTTTCTATCTTGATGATATGTATCACAATAAAGTAAAATCTTTGAAAACTGTAATGCATTTTCTTCTTTTCTTAATATTAATAACACGTGGTGATCGGTAATCAGCATGAGAAGAGCTTCACAGAAACACCACTGAGCACAAACATGGTGGTGATGAACATTCTGTTCAGTTTTCTGCCTTTTTGTCAGACTCTGAGCCAAGAAATGGCTTCAGAACACAAGGCAGCAGCCAGAAAGCTCTGGAGCAACCACTAACTCCACCCCGTAGCCAATAATCGGCCAACATTTGCAATAGGGAGCCCAAGTCTCCTCCCCTTCCGGTCAGGTCATGGGTGCCTGGAAAAACAAAAATATGAATGCAAGTCAATGGAGCTAAAAGAGCTATTTTCTAATTTGCTTTGCCTTATAGGCCCTGGGTCGCACATATGTTGTACTTCTATTTTAGTAGTTGGGAGGAATGCCCCCCCGATCTGAATTTGAGTGGTGTTTTGTTATTGGACTTCTGTGCCAGTCATGGATTGTCCATTATGAACACCATGTTCAGACATAAAGGTGTCCATATGTGCTCTTGGCACCAAGACACCTTAGGCCGCAGCTCGATGATCCGAGTTTGTTGTTGTTTCATCTGACTTGCGGCCGCATGTCTTGGACACTCGGGTGAAGAGAGGGGCGGAGCTGTCAACTGACCACTACCTGCTGATGATTTGGCTCAGATGGTGGGAGAGGTGCCAGTCAGACCAGGCAGGCCCAAACGTATCGCGAGGGTCTGCTGGGAACGTCTGGCAGAGTCTCCTGTCAGAAGGAGCTTAAATTCCTACCTCGGACAGAACTTCCAAAATGTTCCGGGGGAGGCGGAGGACATTGAGTCTGAATGGACCCTGTTCCGTGCCTCCATTGTTGAGGTGGCCGACTGGAGCTGTGGTCGCAGGATCGTCGGTGCCTGTCGTGGTGGAAACCCCCGAACCTGCTGGTGGACACCGGCGGTTAGGGATGCTGTCAAGCTGAAGAAAGACTCCTATCAGGTCTTTTTGGCCTGTGGGACTCCAGAGGCAGCTGACAGGTACCGGCAGTCCAAGCGGGTCGTCGCCAAGGCAAAAACCCGGGCATGGGAGGAGTTCGGTGAGACCATGGAGCAAGACTTCCGTACGGCTTCGAGGAGATTCTGGTCCACCATCTGTCGCCTCAGGGGGGGAAAGCAGTGCACTACCAACACTATCTATAGTGGGGACGGTGTGCTGCTGACCTCTACTCAGGACATTGTGGATCGGTGGGCAAAATACTTCGAAGACCTCCTCAATCTCACCGGCACGTCTTCCAGTGAGGAGGGCAGAGTCTGGGGACTTTGGGTTGGCCTCTCAAATCCGAGTGCCGAGGTCACTGAGGTGGTTAAAAAGCTCCTCTGTGGCAAGGATCCAGGGGTGGATGAGATCCACCCGAAGTTCCTTAAGGCTCTAGATGTTGTGGGGCTCTGCAATATTGCATGGACATCGAGGCAGTCCCAGTGGACTGGCAGACCGGGGTGGTGGTCCCCTTATTTAAAAAGGGGGCTGCAGGGTGTGTTCCAACTACAAGGGGATCACCCTCCTGAGCCTTCCTGGTAAGGTCTATTCAGGGGTTCTGGAGGAGGGTCCATT